TGCGCCGAGCCAGATCGAGTGGCCACAACCTCCCGCCCGCCGCGTTGATCAGCTCTGTACGACGTGTCCGCCCGCCAGCGCGTGCCTCTCCAGATCGAGCAGCTCACCTGCCTTTCCACCTATGCGCCAGAACCTTCCCGTGTGTGTGCCATGTCCAGCCCGCCGCGTTGACGAGCTTAACACAGAGAATGCCTTCATGGGTTTGGGTATGGATTTGATATTGGTTCAACCCGAGCCGAACCCGACCCATTGCCATCCTTTCCAAGTAGTTCTCGGTTTGGTCTTTTTATTAACAAAAACTTAATAACTTTGCTCTTCTTTCCAACTCTCCTCACCTGTCCACACTCCTGACTTGAAGGATGAGTACTGGATGGTGAGAGAAGCATCTGCAAATTGCATAAAATACAGACACATGTATCATAGCCACTGGTCACTACTCTTTTCGCAATTGACACACAATTTGTTCCTAACAGTGTGTGCTCTCGTAATTATCACTATTTGACCGTCAGGCACTAACTGGCTAGTGGTCATAATGTCTAGTGCTTTTACAGTTTGCACACATAAGAACCCTATCAGATAGCCTGGTGGAATTTCCAAACTTAATGATTGTTGAATCGGAAGCTTCCGGGCTTCCTTCTTGTATCTCTAGGCAGCGGATGTGATTTATTTGGAGCACAGGTAAAGCAATCTGTTAGTCAAAGTCCAATTTAGTATGACGACTGAGCCATTTCATAAAACATTTCTCTGATGCAAATAATGTTGGCTTGTCATGTTAAACAACTATCATTTTCTCTGTCCATCACTTTCAATCACTCAAACGAGGCATTGCAAATACATTGAATCACTGTTTATAGAACATCCTGGAACTATGTGTATGATATGGGCATGTGGCTTCACAGTGAATTACTGAAAATAATATGGTACAGCCTCACGATCTTTTTATGCAAATAATATTCGTGACTAGTCGTGTTATTATGATGTGCATATTGAAGTCAGAGTTTGTGCTCATATTGCGCTGATAAATAGTTATCACACTGTTTGCATATGTTGTCATTTGCTCTGTAAATCTTTTCATATTATTTTATGCTGTATCTGTGAACAGGTCGACAACCTTAAGTCAAACCTACTTGAGAAGCTTGAAGATTGCCTTTTAAATTTGCAGACCGAGCCCATGCAGGTATATATCAGAAATATTAGAACAAATAAACAACTTGCATTTTATTTTGGGTGGAAATTCTGTAATCCACCTAGCTTGTGTTGCCTATGTTGTGATTTCGACATGCATTAAATCATCTAATATAGTACCCTACAGATCTAGTCTATTTGCAGCACTTTACTTCCGTTTTTGTTAACTCCTATATATATCATAATGCTATTTTGTATGTTCTGTCGCAGGCTTCAGTTGGTGATATTTCAAAGACATTCCGTGCTTATCTCATAATATTTCCTGATTCAGAAAGTCGTCTCATTGAACTTGCACATGCTTTGTTCACAAAGTAAGCATCACATACTTTATGCAATTTTACAAGTGGACCATTAGCTGTTTTTAAATCATGAATGACTACGTCCTGTCCATGGTACTTGCCATTATGGAACCAAGAATACTGACCAAGGCAATTACCATTGTAAAAAAATGAAGTCGTACACTAAATCCTGTGTGCTAAAACAAGTAATTTGCCTTTGAACAGTTGAACCTGAAGTAGTGTGTCATAACATATTATATCTCCAGTTCTCAATGCACTTTTAGCATGTGTTTTTTTGTGTGCTGATTGATGCGCAAAGCCTCTGTTTCTCTGAATGTTGCAGTGAATTTGTGTTCATTTTTCTTGGAAGATGTCTTCCTTTGCTACCAAATCCAACAATTGGCTTGAACATTCTACTTGAGTCACTTAACTTTATTTTTTGCTTAAGTATTCTCTAAGCTCACGCATTCAGAAACAAAATTGATATCTCAAAGTACTATGGCACATCGCCAAACTAAAATCATGCAACCGACAGAACTTTGAAGGTTTTCTTTTACTACCAATTACAACACAGAAGGAAATGCAAGTGGAATATTTTCCTATCTCTTGGGCATCATGTTACCTGTACATATGTTCGATTAGTAGTGTGCTAATACATATTTTATGCGGTGGAACTTGGACACAAAAATTGCTTCAATCTGAGGCAGCCTCAGATGAACTGAAACTAGTCTTTCTATTAAGCTCCCCTTTTGGCTTTTGCTTCTTGTTTATTTTAAATATATACTATTAGAAGTTCAACCCATATGTTTTTGTCTTATTTCTATTTGTACTATTTTGCATGAAGCCGTTATGAAACAGTCAGAGGGGCTCTGAAGGAAAGAATTCCATCAACAGATCTGCTGGCAATGCTACGTAAGAGCTTTATCTATGATACAGTGCTATCGTAAATGTGTTTCCATTATATCAAGAATAATAGTGTAAAGCTCTACATGTTCCTTTTTTTGACATGAAAATGCCGTGTTCCATTTAGATCTTTTAGTCATTAGTCATGATACGAACTTACAAAGGACATTTTGACAAATACCTTGGTGATTTGCCTTATGAATGATGATGCTAATTGCTAAGTAAGTTTTATCCAATCATTTTATAATGTTTTACTTTGTTTCCGTGTTATGCTGTACTATGTATAATGGAAGAACTATTATGCTGTTACTATAATGGAAGGATTGTTATGCTGTACTATGTATAATGGAGGAATGACTGCAAAGCAGTGGTCTTCAAATTCAGGATGAACTTTGGTTGAGTTTTGAAGAAACTAACTATTAAATTTGAATTGGTATCAACTCAGTTCAGTAGTGGATATTTAACTCCTACCTTGAGAAAATTCTTATCTTGAGAGTGTTGGCGGTGCTTTTACCATTAATAGCCATGCATGTTAAGTTTTTTTAACCTTCAATGTCCATGTATCTTAATACGATTTTACTGTGGATTTTGAAAGACCATTGTATTTCTCTTGACTTAATCCTTCTATGATACGATGATCGCAGGAGGTTTATGGGAGGATGCAACTGCCATCGACGAAGTTATATCAGAGGCTGCACTGCCAGCTTTTTCATTGGAGGTTTAGTCTTCACCCTGCAACAGTCGCATTCATGTTTCAAATTATAATATGCTCCACCTTTTAAGACGCAAATGATATATTTTTCTCTGTTTTTATAAATCCGATACTAACAGATTTCATATTGTGTCACCCAGTTGATTTGTTTTGCCTAGAATCAAGTAGAAACTACATTCCAAATATGCATAATTTTCTCCATGCGTTAGCGTTATGTGATCCTTTCTGGTCGTTTCTTACTTTAGAATATTGGTTGAAACAATAGTGCCTTTTCCGCTTACCACAAAGCGATTAAAGTGTTGGAACGAGGGACACTGTTGGTGGAGGAAAGCATATTAGCTGCTAATTCCGTCCCATTTTTGAAGGCAAGACGGCATGGGAGTGCACCTTACAATTGATAGCCCTAATTATCCACATTTAGTTATGATGGACTGGAAAACAGAAGCTTGCCCAGTATACGCTGGTTTCCTTTCTCAGTTGTATTGTTGTCGGTAGTGTTGAGTACTATTTGAGCACTGGTTGCTAGGGGTGAACTTATGAGATATCTTATCTTGACAACCCATGTGAATTCACAAAAGAACCAATTTCTTTTTGTAAGATATAAGCTAAATTTCTCAAGTTTTTTTATTTAGATCTGCTAATTTCCTTTCCTCCCTCATATGTTCTTATTCAGGGATATAATGAATGTTATTCAATCCCCTTCTGTAGTTGCTTATTTGGGACATCCATGTCTAAAGAGCTGTGTATTTTTCTCGATGCTGATTTAATATGTAATAAGCAACAATTTCTTTGCTGTGTCAGACTACTCGAGACATTATTAAGCAACACATAGCAACTGCCTTTCTTCATCTTCAAACTGAAATATCAGGTTGCTCCCCTCCCACTCAGTTTGCTTTCATTTGCAGTTTTTGCACAGAACTGATTGTACCTCTCGATTATGGATTTCATTTGACAGTAACTTAATTTTTATTTATCTTGTAATAGTACAAGTATATTTGGAAATAAGAAAGTAAACTTACATCTATTGGGCATGGCTGAGCAGATGTACTGGTCACACATTCAACATCAAATGAGAAGTTAGAAGAGTCACAGCTGCAAACTGCCATGGAAAAAAGCAAAATTAAAGTATCCCAAGGGTGCATAGATCTCCTGCAGGTAAATATCTGGAAGCCCTAAAAATCATGTGACCATTCATTTCCATTGTTACTATGTTGAATAATGTAAAATAGTTCTGCCCAAGTACTGGATTGCTCATGCTTGTGTTAGAGAAACCTTATACAGTTGTAGTATATTTCAATGGTCTCATTTTGACTATGTTGCTTTTAGGAATTCCGTCATCTTATAGATGGGAATACAGAGTTGCTAGTAAAGCTGAAAGATTTGATTATTGATTGGGTACAAGAAGGTTTTCAAGATTTCTTTCAGAAACTTGATGGGCATTTTCATCTGCTTTCTGGGAGAAGCACGGGTTTCTCTCAAGAGTCAAGTACTGTGGATTTTGTGCAAATTGACAAGGTTCCAACAGTGTTGGTACTCATGCTTGCGCAGCTTTGTGTTTTCATAGAACAGACAACGATTCCTAAAGTTACAGAGGTATATTTCTTCACTTGCTGACAGCCTTTCTTACATTTGAGAAACTGGACAGGTGAATGTGTGCTGAATGATTCTGAACTTTGTTATTTTCTAGGATCTGGCTGATTCTTTCTCTGGAGGGGGAGCACGTAGCTCTGAATATGGACCACCTTTTGTACCTGGGGAGATATGTCGTCTATATCGTTCATCTGGGGAGAAATTCTTACAACATGTAGGCACAGACATTTTCTGTACCTTTCTTTCCCTTCCATTCTATTAATTTGAATTCCTAGTTGATATTTTTTCTGTATGGTGGTATGCTCCCTGTGTGCCATACAGTGAAACTGTTCATATTGAAAAGAAAGAAGGTTTATATGACTTGGTCGGCTAGGGCTTTCTACTATTCTTCTGGATCATTACGGCATAGTAGCATGCACTATTATAACTGACAATCATGTAATGGGTGTACACAAATCTATTCTGAATTTTCCGAGAACTTTTTGACCTTTTTTTGCAGCTCTGAGAGTAATGTAACTGCATGCAGATTGTTGAGCATGCCAAGTTAGGTCCAAAAATAGCATCACGAGAATTAGGTGCTAAAGGAACTTAGAATAACCGTGTGTCATGAAAAGCTGTCAGTCATAATATTGTTATTGGTCTAGAATGTTGAACTAATAAACATCTTCAGTAGTAATGACATACTCAATCCGTTCCATATTAAGTGTCGCTGATTTAATACAAGTTGTACTAAATCATGTGGTGAACATGTGGTGAACTGTCGCTTTTGCCGAGAGATAGTTGGGAACATTTTTTTAATTCAAGTTTTCACTTTGGAAGTACATTTTCTTATCATCTGGCTGTAGCTGAATATTGTTTTTTCTGGAATCAGTACGTAAATATAAAGACTCAGAAGATTTCCAAACTTCTTAATAAGCGATTTTCGACACCGGTCTGGCTAAAGGTTAGCTATCCTATCCAACATGAACTATTTTTCGTTCATTGATCATTCTGCTATTTCTAGTTTGCTCACGTTTGTGTTCTGTATATTCAACCAAAACAGCACAAGGAACCACGGGAAGTTAACATGTTTGTTGATCTACTTCTCCTAGAGGTTTGTTCAGTTTCTTATCCTATTATATACTCCCTCCGTCCCAAATTACTCGTCTTAGATTTGTCTAGATACGGATGTATCTAGACATGTTTTAGTGTTGGATGCATCCGTGTCTAAGATGAGTAATTTGGGACGGAGGTAATATTGAACAATAGGATACCATGCGACTCTACTTCATCTTAAAACTGATGCTTACATTTCACTCACTACTGCATATTACTGCCATCTGCTTTTCAAGAACATGAAGCTCATGCTGGAAGGGTTTCTCTTACTAATACAGTAATAAATGTTTCTTACCCTGCAGTTCAATGGCGTAGTATCTGAAGTCAAGCAGATCTTACCTGGTTTAATCCGGCGACATCGGCATTCTGATAGCACTGGCAGCACCACTTCCTCTAGAAGCAATCCGATGCGAGAAGACATGTTGAACCGATCAAACACAAACCGGAGTAGAAGTCAATTTCTAGAAAATCATCTAGCAAAATTATTCGAACAGAAAATGGAAATATTCACCAAACTTGAATACACACAGGTGGAGATCTGCTTCACTTTCCTCTCATATAACTTTTGAAACTGCCTGTTTCCCTTTTTGTTTTACAAAATGCGTAATACCCTTAGGATGTTTTTCATCCCTTGTTGATTAAAAGTCTTTCCCCTTGCTAGTATAAACATATTGAGTGGAAACCATCGATCTTTTAATCTATCCAGTATTTGGATTGGGGATACATAATGCAACTGTCAACCAGAGTTAGGGCAGAAGTTAGTGACTGCTCCTTCTAGTCACATGAGCTTGTCACAGTAGGAGTGTAATGGTCAGTTTCTAGCAATGGGCCAGCGGTTATCTTTTTGACTACCTAGAATGGTCACAAGAAAAAATGAGCACATAGTGCGGCATAAATTGATGGACAAATTTTCACTTTAGAACACAAAAATACATCAAGAGTATTTCAAAAGAATATAATAATTGTTTTTTAGAAAGCCACCGCAGTCCAAATGCAGCACAAGTCAGAGTGTGTCTTCTGAAAGAGGTCATGCGTCTTACTGATTGAATTTACTGGGCTTGTTGCAGCAGTAATTTTATAGTTCAAATTTAGGATTAACTTGCTAGGTGATCATGTAGAATTTCCTTTTATTTACATCTACACCATATATCCATTCTGACAGTAATTTCTTGTGTGACAAATAAATTTCAGGAATCTGTAATTTCTACCGTCCTCAAGCTTTGCCTGAAAAGTTTGCAAGAATTTGTCCGGCTTCAGACCTTCAACAGAAGTGGATTTCAGCAGATTCAGTTGGATATGGAATTTCTGAAGAGCTCCCTCAAGGAGTTTATTGATGATGAAGCAGCCATAAGCTTTTTACTTAAAGAGGTTAGACATTACCTAACATTGAAATTTGAATCACAACCCAAAAAGATTTAGTAGTTTTATTGAGTTTTCCCATACTATGCCTGCTTGTATCTAGGGGTCTTTACATAAACACTAAGCGCAAGCATTTGCATACATCACATGTCAATAAGAGTTGGGATCTTTTGTGTGAAAGGGAACTGTTGCATATTTAGTTTTCTCTTGAGAACCTGTCTCTGGAAGATGTTTGAACATTGTTTATTTCCCCCTCCTTTTCAGGTGAACAATGCTGCACACGAGAGATGTCTTGACCCGATACCTCTTGAGGCCCCAATATTAGATAAACTCATAAATGCAAAACTGGCAAAAATCAAAGAGCAAAGCGCGAATATGTAGTAGCTACCCACACATTGTACCTCTCAGCAGCATTCAGTTTTATTCAATTTAATACACAGTATTCAAGCTATGTGCATATAGTTGTGGGCTTGTGGCATGCCACCATCTGTAATATGTAAATCTGAGGTCAAAACACTCGAACTGAATCAACAATGCCTGAAATGTATACTTCTTGAGCTCTCAGTTTCCCATTCTGTCATTGTATTGTCATGAGTCTTGACTCCAGAGTTGAGGTAAATTGTGAGCAACCTAGGGCCGGAAGGCGGAAGAAGAACTGTGTTATGCATTTAATTGAGTGGACATTTAGAAGCTGTTGAATGCAGAAAAAAGATGCAATACTTTGAGGGCGCAGCTCGTGGAGAAATTATGAGGTAAATATTGCACAAATTGTATCCCATTCCAATATGCTATTGACTTGATAGTACACGTGGGAGCTTAATGACATACACTTTTTCTTTATTGGCAGCCTGATTGCTACGATTACGGAAGTCCATCCACTCGACTACCCTCTTCTTTTTGGAAAGAACTAGTATCTGGATTCAGACTGGAATTTTGCATGTCTTGATTGTGATTTTCGCTGCACGTTACCGTTGGTTGCTTAGACTTGTACCATTTGCGTTTCCCAACTATGGTGATCTGAAAGATATATTTCTTTACAGAGGGGGTATTTTAACAATCTTGGCCTGCAATATGTACATGTACCCAGGAAGATGATACAGCCGGAGTAATTTTTGGTTTTGAGATGCAGTAATGTGGGGAAGTATAAGCGTAAACAAGGCATCAACATTCAGTACCACCTGCAAAGAAATGTCTTGGAAAAAGAGATGATTGGACTGATTCTGCTCAACTTATTTTGGTCATCGGCTCTTAATAACACATAGTTGCTTCGCTTGCAAACTGCGCACTTACAAGAAATCATCATTCCAAGTCAATGTAACGAGTTTTGATCAAAGAACACAGCAAATCGCAATAATATGTTCTCCTTTCTCAATAGTATCTTACGTGCAAGAAAATAAATGAATAAGAAACAACTAATATTGTGTATATACTATATGTCTACTAAATGATGGCGCTTAGGTAAACTTCTATCTCAATTGCATATATCAGTAATTCTCATTGTTCTCAGGAAAAAGTAGAGAGCAACAATCTGCCATGTGCCAAGAAATACAAACGAGACACAGCCAATTACTGATTTCACGACGCTTGAACAAACACACCACAAGCCAACCAGTGTAGCTTTCATAACTAGCTAGAGGCCCTAACTCTGCCTACCCGCGCACACAAAATGTACAGGAAGAGGTTAACAATAACAACAGTGGGGAGGAGGCACTCCAGGACTAAACACTTGGCATCGAGGTGCAGACAACGACGTATGCGAGGTACTGGAGGGCGTCTTGTAACTTGCTGATGGCACTCGTCTGGTCGGATTTCAGATGGCTGGATATATCCTTGGCTTTCTCCTGCACCGACTGATGCGGGACATCGCCCTGCTTGTCTGCCAGAGCATTCTGTATCGCTGCTGCATAAGCTTCCGCAACATCTGAGATGCCTATGGATTTTAAAAGAACAAAATTAAGTTTTTGCGTCCAACATTCAAGTGCACGAGGGGAAATAGATTGTTTTCGTGGTACCTGTAGCAAAACTTGTGGCGACCTTCTCGATATCCACAGCGATGGATTGTGCCCTCCATCTGATGATTTCTGCCTTCGAGATGAGATCTTCAGGCCAATCGATTTTCACATCACTTTCATCTTCGTCGTTTGATTTGTTGGCAGCAGAGATAACTGATTTCCCAAGCACCAGAAGCTGAGAAACTGCAAGGCAGCACATCTCTGACAATCTCTGCAGGACGAAGTGTATCACAGACATATTACAGTTTTAGGAGAAACAACATTATACAACGTGGACGTACATGAACGCCCTCCGAGTGAATGGTCTCTAGCCTATCTGTAGTTCGTTTGATGATATCACTCGGAGAAAGTCCACCCAAGCCAGTTGCGAACCTGCAAAGCCGATTAGTGAAACCATGTAAGATGTTTAAAGAAATGAGTGCCAAAATATGAAGCTCGAATGCTCTAAGAAACTCCACAGGAGTAAAACTGGGACGAGCTTATTGATGAACTGAAAATGTGGGGTAATTTCACTTAGTCTTGTCAGTTACTAGACATTTTAAGCAGTCCCTAGTAGTTTTATATCACTGTCAGGTCACCCAAAATGCGAGTTTCTGCAGTGGATAATGGATGATGTGCAATAGTGTTCATTGCCTTTTTAAAGTTTCTGTAACACATGCTAACATGGGTTTTTCTGCATGAACAATATCCCATTAATTGCATCATAACCTGACAAAACCAGACAACAATATTAACATACTAATTTTGAATTTACAGGGTGAACGAGTTATGCCTACCCCGCAGCCATTTTAGCAGCCTTGCTCACACTCGAGTCACATAACTTCTTCATTTCTGCATCACCATCAGTATCAGCTGCTTCAATCTTCTTCCCTTTGTCAGAGTCTGGTCCATCTTCCTCAATCTTGGTACTAAGAGTAAATAGCTGCTGTATTTCTTTGATCTTTCCATCATAATACGTTTTCTGCTCAGCAACAAGTTTTGTTTTCTTCCTATTAAATAGCAGCGCATAGTGGCTTGACAGTGCTTCCAGTTCCTAGTATAGAAAAGACCACAAATTAAGAAGGGCAGACAGCCAGAGACTGATAATCCAGCACATGAAGAAAATGTGAAAACAGAAGCCGCACCTCCAACTGATCAGGTCCTCCATAAATGTAGAAACATCTGTCGAATGATACTTCTTCAGACTGTTCCTCTTCTGTTTGCTCGTCACCTTCGCCAGTACCACCCTTTTCAATTTCCATACCAGTCTCTTCAATGATCAACTCCATCGTCTCTTTTCCAACACGCTCAAGCATTTCCATTCCTTTGGCTGTAAATGACTTCCCTGTCTGTGGTAATCAAGGTTTTAATATAAAGATACTTTTACAAATGGGTAGAACAGTAGAAGAAAAAATATCAGTACTAAATTCTAGGTTTACCTCTAAAATGGTTGGTGCTATTTCAGATGCTTTGGCAGGTAGTTCTCCTTGTTGAATGGTTTCAGCAAGGCTTGAAGCAGAAGTTTCCAATCTAAGAAAGCAACCCATATTATAGATAGAAGGATAGGTACAAACACATTAAATTGAAGAGTTCCTTTTTCAAGCAAAGGAGTCTTTTTTTTTTTGCAGGTTTGTTGGCACTCAAAACATTATTAAACTACTAACACAAAAGTGAACATGACATGTTGACACTGCAAAATGATTCATTAACAGAATTATCATTTATAAAGAACAATAAAGCAACGTTTTGATGAAAGTGTTGCTTTTAGAATCCCATCTATGCTAAAATAGGAAAGCTAGTTAATGGCGTGTCATTCATATTGACAATAAGCCCAATACAAGGATTAACCTGTCAACGGGCAAGAAATCCATGTACTCATTCTTGAACCAACAAAGCGAAATGAATAGATCAGCTTTCTCTCATTTTAAATTTTAATTCGGGAAACTTGTAACCATAATCAGCATTCTGAGTGGACAGCTAATCATTCATATCATCGGAGGATTTGATCATAGGTGCTTCCACTGTTCCATGTACTGTAGGTTCAGCAATTCAGTATACACATGCAATATACTAAAACCAAACACTAAGCAACTCAGGGAATCAAAGAAGAAAGAGAAAATGTAAATCAAAAGGGGGCTATACTTCTGAACAATTAGCGAGCCACTCCTCCACGCACTTCCAAGCGCCTGCCACGTTCCGGTCGTGATGCTCTCCACCGAGGTATCAAACACCTTGAGCCCCTGCAGAACCCCAAGACACAGATTACAAACACCATTTCACCAATCCATCGACCACATTCACTGGCATTGCCGAAAACAGCGGGAGGGGGCGGCGAGCCAGGTGCTAGCCTGGCCCAGGAGCGAGTCCTCGCTGGCGTCCTCCAGCTTATCCAGCGCCGCCTTGCGGCGCTCGTCCCCCTCCTCCCCCTCCGGCTCGTTATTCCCCTTGTCTCCCCCCTCTCCGGGCCCCGCCTCCTGCTCCGGCGGCTGCTGGATGTCGGCGATGGCGCTCTTGGCGACCTCCACCGCCTGCGCAGACGCACCGCATCACATCATCAGAACCCTAACCGTCCCGCCGACAAACAAACAAAAAAAAGTGCAAACGCGCGGAAAGGGGGCCGGAGAGAGCTCGCACGCCGCGGGAGATCTCGGAGAACACGGAGAGGCCCCAGCCTCCCCACCCTCCTCCGGCCTGCTCGTCTTGCTGGGTCTTCCCGGCCTCCGCGGCCGTCGCCGCCGGCGCCGGCGATTCGTCGGACATGGCGCTTGCCGTGGGGGTTACTGCTGCTCTCGCCTCGCCGGATCTACCACTGCAATGCAACCACCGGTGGGAAGTGGTGGGTTAGAGTTTTTTTTTTCTTTGAGGGGCGCGTGCGTGCCGTGCACGTGGGGTTGCGGAGCGTGCCCGACGCGTCACGGCCCACGGGCTAACACCGGGCCAGGCCCACGAGGGCACGAGCCGCTCCAAAATCCTCGAGAAACCCCAGGCCCGGCCCGGCCAAGCAGTCTGGTCGCTCTGCCGGAGAGGAGAGAGAGAGCGGAGGGGGGAGGGAGAGTTCCTTCCAGCGATGGAAGAAGCGGCGGAGGAGCGAGCGGCCGCGCCGGTCGCCGCCGAGTTCGAGGATGCGGCGGAGAACGGGACGGAGGGGGAGGAGGGAGGCTCTGCTCCCGCGGCAGAGGAGGACGCTGCTGCTGCGGCGGCAGCGTACTCGTGGCCTGAGCTCCGCTTCGATCTCCCGCCGCGCCGCCGGTACCACTTCGCCGACCAGTTCCGCTCCCCTTGCTCCTCCTCCTCCGCCGGTAACTTCCTCAAGGGCGTCAAGTGGTCGCCCGACGGCTCCTCCTTCCTCACCAGCTCCGACGACAACTCCCTCCGCATGTTCTACCTGTACGCGCGCGCGCCTCTCCTTGTTCCTTCCCGTACCTTCTTATGCCCTCGACTAACGCTCCTTGTTCCTTTCTCGGCCAGGCCGGAGGACGCGTACAGTGCTGCGGCGGAGCACACCGCAGAGGCCGCCGTCGGAGGCCAAGGTGCGCTGCGTCGCCTGTTTTATAGCCCTTGTTTGCTGAATGGCTGCCGTTGTTCAGTTATTTCTCGTGTGTTTGACTTTTGATGAATTTTAACTGCAGACTCCTATGGCGCAAGCCTCCAGGTGAACGAGGGCGAGCCCGTGTACGACTTCTGCTGGTACCCCTACATGTCCGTGTCTGGTGAGTGGATTGCTTCCTTTGTCATGTCACGGCGGGTTGCATTGCAAGCTGTACAGCTTTGGTGAATGCAAATATGTCGTGTTGTTTTGCAGATCCAGCCACCTGTGTGTTTGCTAGCACCAGTCGCGATCATCCGATACACCTCTGGGACGCCACCACCGGCGAGGTAGAGTTGGCTGCTTACGCTTTGTTGCATTTGGTGTATGGATAATGAAAGGTCCATTTCTGATGGTTCATTGGGGTAACTGCAGCTTCGATGCACTTACAGAGCATACGACGCCATGGATGAGATAACGGCTGCACTTTCAATATCGTTTAATTCTACAGGATCCAAGTATGTGCACTGGACTCTACCATGTGATCTGCATTTGTGTTACAAATAGAAAAATGCTGAAATTGTGATGGCCATGCAAGTTTGCAACCACACTGAAGCACAATCTTTTTTTACTGCTTAACTCAACATGGATATGGTGGTATGTAGGCTTTTTGCTGGATACAACAAAGCAATCAGAGTGTTTGATGTTCATCGGCCTGGTAGAGATTTTGAGCAATACTCTTTGCTTAAAGGGGGTGAAGGGCCAACTGGTAAGTGGAAGTTCCACTGGTTTACTTCGTAGTTATACTATGCTTCAAGACAGCATATGATTTCAGTTGGGGTTTGAAACAGAGAAATGCGCTAATGTTGATTTAATCTGCATGCAACTTTGGTTGTCTCTTTAAGGATTCACCAAGAAAGAAAGAAATTACTTTCCATCACATGAATTAAATGTTAATATTCATGACTCGTTAAGTTTACCAATGACTTTTTGTATGATGAAACTGTGAGTAACAATGTCAGTTTATTACCACAATACTGATGAATGCAATCTTGAGATAGTATTCATTTTCATTATTATTTTTGCACAATCAAACTCCGAAGTAACTTTGTGCCAGGACCTTGTTTTTCCTCTTATATTGTTTTTCTACAGAACTTTGCATTAGAACTTTGGAAGGACTTTCACTATTAAAAATCAGGCTATAAATTGTGACTAGGACCAGTAGTTTGAACATAAATACATTTTTCATGGAGACTGAAAGATTCTGCACGGTTGCTTATTGTAGATATCTCTTGACGGGTTTTTATCAGTTCAAGTTTTAGCTAATATTGATGAATATGCTTTATTATCATGTTCCCATGACTTACAGTCGTGAATGCTTTTGACCTCCTTGTTTCCAACAGGTATAATATCTTCAATCTCGTTCTCTCCTCAAAATGGGATGCTCGCAGTTGGCTCGTATAGCCAGACAACAGCTGTTTATGCGGAGGGTAACATGGAGCCATTATATGTTCTACATGGCCAGCTTGGGGGTGTTACACAGGTTTGTGAAGCAACACTACTTGCTTAGCTTTTGCTGTATGGATAGCAGATAACAGTGATGCAAATCTCAGGTGCTTTTTTCGAAAGATGGAAATTATTTATATACTGGAGGGCGGAAGGTAACTAAAACTCCTCGTATTTTCAATAATTGATCTCAAGGTTCTTCATCACATATATTTTGGGACGATACAAACAACTGACGTGGCCATGATTTTTTGTTAGGATCCATACATATTATGTTGGGATATTCGGAACACCGTGGACATTGTTTACAAGTAAGTATTTAAACACATTCTAGATTACTCCCAAAATTCAACATATTGCTTAGAATAAGTACAATTCGTTTGTTGGATTTGGGAAGTGGGATTGATAGGTTAATCTGTCTTATTTTATAGGAATCATATTCTTCTGACTTTTGTCAAACTCTTCCCATTTTTTTTCTGTGTGGAATCCCTTCATTAGGTTGTACAGATCGTGTGATACTACCAATCAAAGAGTACAATTTGATATTGAGCCCTGTGGCAAGCATCTTGCCACTGGTGGGCAGGTTTGCTTCTCATGTTTTCCGTTCATTCTTGTTCTTATTCCAAACCATTGAACCTTTGAAACATGATTTTTGTGTTTCGACAGGACGGCATGGTCCATATTTACGACCTTCAAGGTGGCCAATGGGTGACAGGCTTCCAAGCAGCTGCTGGTATGTGTTTCTAAATTTTTGTCTATAGAGAAGTTTACATAACATATATGCAATTCTTTTATGGTACAGCCCATGTGATCTCTTTATCTCCTTGATCTTAGATACTGTCAACGGTTTCTCCTTCCATCCATACCTTCCTCTTGCTACAACATCGTCTGGGCACAGAAGATTTGGTATGGAAGATGAATTTGAAGAGGAATCGAGTTTGGCAGGTGTGTGTCAATGTTCTAGACTTCAAGCATTTGTAATGCGTTTATGTTGCTTGAATGGCAGGTTCTCACACTTTATTATTTATTTTGCACATTTAGGTGATGAGAACTGCTGCTCTGTCTGGAAGTTTTCTTGCTCACAAGAATCTTGAAACATCAAACCCTGAGCTGTGGAGGGACAGTTGAACATTTTGGACAGCAGATGCTGGAAGTACATGGTGTAATGCGATCAGGCTATAGCTGTGGGTGGGCAAGAACTGGATGCAGACCGCTAAAACGCACACTGTACCAATGAGTTATTAGAGAGTTCACCGGCTTATCCTGTTCCAGGCAGACAACTTGCTGTGCTGGGTAACAAGCTGGTAAACCATGATAGTACGATTGTTTTTTGGGGAATATGAGCTGATTTTTTTTATCATGGCATGTATCGATGGGATTTGCGTGTATAAACACCTTGTATGCTGGTCGATTAGGCCCCCATTCAATTCAAAGTCTTATTTACTGATGTCTCGTCATTTGCAAGTTTTCGATGGGGGCTTTGTTCGCTCTAACTTTCCATATGTCCATGGCCACCTATGATCTTGTGTACATCTTGAATTTGCTTTTTAATTCAAGTTCCATGGTTGCAATACTTGTACCTTGTGTTTACTAGAACACCCATGACTCGAGCATAACTGCAACACATTTGCTTGTCTTTTTTGGCCCTGTTTGGTTCGGCTGTGGATTTCTAAAAGCAGCTGTGAAAAATCTGCTGTGGAAAAACAGTTGTGGAAAATCTGATGTGAAAAAGATGTAGGTCATTTGGCAAACCAGCTGATACAGCCTTTTCAGATTTTGGCCCGCAGCGGAATCAGATTTTGAAAAGCATGTCCTGGGCTACTTCCGCTTTTGATTCAGATTTTGGCAGCGGATTTCTGAAATCGGATTCTGCTAGGTTCGCTCTTTGGTTCAGATTCTGCTGCGCGGCAGCGGAATCCGTCGATAAAATCTGAACCAAACAGGGCCTTTAAAGGTCACTTTTGGAAGTTCTTGATCAACACCCAGCCTTCATGTTCTCAACCCCAACTCTCTGCATAACTTGTAGAGCAAAAATAACATTAACATTTTGCTAAAATGGCACACCTTCAAACATCACATTTCAGGCTTCGTTGAGTGCAATTCTAGGAATGAATATTTCAAAATTATCAGGCAACTAAAAATTAGCAAAATCGTATTTTAAATAGCTGGACAGTGAAGTAGAAAGCTACCTAAAGGTAGAGTCAATCGTTGAATTGTGGACATCTTGATGCCAATCCATAGTCAATAAAACAATGCAGAAAATCAAATAGTATTGTATAAGCTAACTCCATATAGAAGTTATCTGCAAAAGGTAACCTTCATGTAAAATTTATCATTCAATGCGATGGCAATGTAACATCGACTTTTGACCTTTGAGATTTCAGTCTTCTTTGTTCTTGTTTAGCGGTTCTACTCTTCTTTTTCCGAAAAAATGAAGGTCTGGCCTCCTAGGCTCCTAGCATCCCCATCTTCGGATGCACACGTCCATGCCTTAATTGCTCCGAAAAATGAAGACATAATTAATAGGTTGGAAAAACACGCGACCAACATATGATCTCATGACAACCGACATCTCGAAATGCTACCACAAACCTATTAGTGGAAAAAACCCACCGACGGAATTCCGAAGCCTAACAAAGGTAGCACTAAAGGACAACAACTTAAAGTTGTAATCATGTTTGTACGCCGATGTAAACAGCGGTTGGTGTTCCACTAGCTAGACATTTCACCTAGCCTTCACTATCTTGCTTAAATCACAACAAAAATGATCATCAATAGAGATTTGACATGAATATCAATAGAAACCAATAGCTAGACAATAAACAATTTGACATATATCTTTGCTGGATCTCTCAATTCTGATAGCAATTAAAAAAGAATGTGTTCATCTAGTTGGTCAGATAAAACCAAATCTTAAACTCAAAAGAGAATCAATGCAATTTCTGAAATGTAGTGCAGTATTGGTGATAGTGCAAAATGGTCTTCAGACCAAACATAACCGATGCATGTAACGCTCCATAAAAGAGATGGTTTGTTGATTATAAGGTAAAACCTTATAATCAATGTATGATGTGATTTGTTTTCCTTGAGAAAGCATGTACTGGCCTGCTGTGAAAAATACTCCAACATGTGAGTAGCAGATACTTCCTCCTACGCAGTTCACTAAATTGGCATCAGAATTTAATTTCATGGCTACAACCAATCAGAAGAGATGGTTTCACAATTAAAAGAACTTGAACTATTTCTAGTTCCACAGCATTAGCAGCTGATTGACAATAAGTTTGTTAGATATCCCTAGGAAAACCCCTTCTGCTAGAATTGAACCCTTGGCAAGATAACAATTCATCAGAACACCTAGAGTTTTTTTTTTTTGCAGAAAAGAACACCTAGAGTCTATTGCGCAGCAGTAAGAAATCGGGAGCGGAGTGAGCAAGGCGAGAAGATTTAAAATTTGTGCAGACAAAAGGTAACATTTGTCATGTGGGGCGCTGCGTACAGGCGCGGGTCACGCGCCCAGGAGCAGCAGCCGACGGCCACAGCTGGCCAGGCATGATCGGGGCAAGGAGTCCTGATCCTACGTTGGTTCCTAGAGTCCAAGAGTAGTTAGTTTCCTAGTTTGTTAGAAGCCCATAAGGCCTTTATATATCCTGTAATCTGCACCCTTTGACGCAAGCAATAAATCATTATCTCCTACCTCTCCCTCTGCTTCTAATCTCATCTCCCGCACCATTGAGCAGTTAGGCAAAAACCCTAGCGCTCCTATCTACCGAGACTACGAGCTACGTAGTCGAGGTCCTGCTGTCTTGGGCACCGAGGTCCTTGACAACTTGGTATCAGGTTCCAGGCGATCCTCTTCCTCGTCCACGCTCCATCCGCAGCCCGCCGCCACCCCTGCGCCCGCGCCAAGCACACCTCCATCGCCACCATCCGCCGCCGCCTCGGTCACTTCCGGCATGGCAGAACCAACCACCGCTGATCTGGCCAAGATGATCGAGGCCTTGACTGCAACGGTGGCGTCCCTGCAGACGTCCGTCGCCGCACTCCAGAAGGACAAGTCCGCCTCCTCGTCGAGCGCTGACGGCGCCCACGATGGGCAGCACCACAATGATCGACCGCCCTGGTTTCAGAAGATGGACTTCCCCAAGTTCGACGGCAAGTCAGATCCTCTCACATTCATCAACAGATGCGAGTCCTTTTTCCATCAACAACGGATCGCCGAGGAGGAGAAAGTGTGGATGGCGTCATACAATCTCAAGGGTACTGCCCAACTATGGTATATGCAGGTTCAGCGCGACGAGGGCACGCCTCCATGGCGCCGCTTCACCGAGCTGCTCAATCTCCGCTTCGGGCCACCTCTGCGCGCTAACCCGCTGGGCGAACTAATGGCGTGCAAGCGCACAACGTCCGTCGTCGACTTCCAAGAGCGGTTTGAGGCGCTCCTCCCCCGGGCAGGCATCTTATCAGAGACACAGAAGGTTCAGATCTTCACTGCGGGACTCCAGCCACCCCTCAGCCTCGACGTGGAAATCCATAACCCGCAGTCCCTCGCCGTCGCCATGAGCCTCGCCCGCAAATTGGAGCTGCGCGACCAGTGCGCGCTCACCTCCGCGCCACTGGTGCGTTTTCAGCAGAAGGGCATCCTGCCGGCGCCCGTACCACGCCTCGCGCCCCCCGCACCGGCTCCACCAGCCGCACCCCAGCAGCCCCCCAGTCTGCCGGACGGGCGCCAAATCAAACGCCTGTCACAGGCAGAGATGGAGGAATGTCGTCGCCTGGGCCTATGCTTCAATTGTAATGAGAAGTTTGGCAGGGGCCACAACCGCGTGTGCCAGCGCATCTTTCTCCTCGACCTGGCGCCGGACGACGACGACGACACGGCCTCCGCCACCACTGATGCCTCGCCGGCCGACCCTCAGATCTCGCTCCACATGATCTCCGGCGTGCGCACGAGCGAGACCATGCAGATGCATATCACCCTCGGGGGTGTCTCCCTCCTCGCCCTGATCGACTCAGGCTCCACCCACAACTTCATCGCCGAGGAGGCGGCCGCTCGGGCTACACTGCCATCCCCCACCACCGAGAAGATGCGTGTCACGGTGGCCAACGGCGAGTGCGTTCCGTGCCAGGGTGCATACCGCGCCGTGTCCTTCCGCATCGACCAAGAGACGTTCTCGGAGGATTTCCTCGCCTTGCCGCTCGCGGGCTACGACGTCGTCCTGGGCACGCAGTGGCTGGCGACGCTTGGACCGATCCTGTGGGATTTCCGCGCCCTCTCCATGACGTTCTGGCGGAGGGGCCATCGGGTCTGCTGGCGCGGCATTGCAGGACCGGACGGGCCGGCCCTGAAATCATGCAATGGCCGCAATTTCCTCGACGCCATCATCACCGAGTTCGACGGCATCTTCGCCGAACCCTCCGGCGTGCCACCACCCCGCAGTCGCGACCACAACATCACCCTGCTGCCCGGTTCCGCCCCGGTGGCCGTCCGTCCGTATTGCTACCCGGCCGCGCACAAGGACGAGCTGGAGCGTCAATGCGCCGCCATGCTCGCCCAGGGCATCATCCGAGCGAGTTGTTCCGCATTCTCATCGCTGGTACTGCTGGTCCGCAGGCCCGACGGGTCCTGGCGCTTCTGCATCGACTCCCGCGCCCTGAACGCCATCACCGTCAAGGATGCGTTTCCGATCCCGGTGGTGGACGAACTCCTCGACGAGCTCCGGTGCGCTCATTTCTTCACCAAGCTTGACTTGCGCTCCGGCTACCACCAGGTGCGGGTGCGTGCGGAGGACATCCCAAAGACCGCCTTCCGTACCCACGACGGCCTCTACGAGTTCCTGGCGATGCCGTTCGGCCTCTGCAATGCGCCGGCGATGTTCCAGGCACTCATGAACGATCTGTTGCGGCCGTACCTGTGCTGCTTCGTTCTCGTCTTCTTTGACGACATCCTCATTTTCAGCGAGACGTGGGCAGACCATCTCCGACATGTGCGCACCGTCTTCACCGTCCTGCACCAGCACCGGCTCTTCGTCAAGCGATCCAAATGCGCGTTCGTCGTCGAGTCGATCTCCTACCTGGGTCACACCATCTCAGTTGCAGGAGTGGCCATGGATTCAGAAAAGGTGCAGGCC